AAACTGAGTTTTTTTGTCATTTTCTCGCGAAATCTACGTAATTTAGGGCTCTAAGTTTTTTTAAATCGTAAACCCCATAATCGTTAGGTACTTAATCTGTATATGATCCGTTTTTGTCACCAGTTTCTCACAGTTTGAGTACCCTAGAGTGCAGGATTAAATTTTACATTGGATTGAAATACTTTCTCTAATACTAAGCATTCAAGAAAAAATTACTTAATTCACACAACAACGAACCCAACCAAAATTATCTCTAGCCAGTTTGTTACAAAATTCTTAAGTACTCCTTTGTTGGTATGCAGATAAACATAGTTCATCTGAAAATGGTAAAAGCATCTTTAAAGTACTTAAGAAAGGCGCCGAGCTATTCGCAACTTGCATTTCGCGAATTTCAAAAAAGCAATTATTATTAGCAGTAAAAGTTATGTTAAAAGCATCTTCCCAACTTAAACTAATCTTTTTGTTATTATAGCAGGATATAGACTGCATTTAGCATTAACATAATAAGGGCAACTATAAGCCTTAATTATCTTCCTTGTACGGCAATAAGGCCTTCAGGTTTTACCTTTTTTCGTAAAGAGCATCAATGCAGACATAGAGAGGAGCTATGTCGCGTGAGCTTATGCGTTCCAATTTTTGGAACTTCACCAAGCGAAGCGGCAGCACGGTTATTCATTTTTGAAACCATTCAAATTAAGGAAACTAGCGAATTTCTTGGAAATGTGACTTTAACTGCTAAAGGCGCATTTAGGATTCTGAAATTCTCTATTTCATGCTGATTTGCTGCTTTCATTGTGAGCGCCGGATGGTGCTGTACAAGCGCTTGCGCCGCAAATAATGAAATTTGTGTCGAAGCTAGAGATTTCCCTTTTCCACATTTTTCTTGAAGACCGCACCCAAACCTAGTCACGTACAAAGCTCACCATAGGTGTTTGAAATAGAAACAAAATTTAAAAAATTAAAATCTTAAAACGACCATTTACCAATCCTGATATTTATTCAAGGTAAACGGCGCTACAGTGTCAAACTTTGGAAAACGTTCCAAGATGTGTTCAACTGTATGCCGGTAGCCGCACTTATTGATAACAAGATCTTCTGCTGCCATGGTGGTCTGAGTCCAACGTTGAGGTCGTTAGACCAATTGAAACGGATAGCAAGGCCCTGTGATGTGCAAGAGACAGGTAAAAATTTATACAAAATCTTATCGATGAGAAAATCAGGTTAAAGCTTGTAGAGCAGACCAAAAAATAATCATCCAATATCTTTGTATCAGCGTGTACTAAAAAACGCACACTATATCCAGAAAGGATAGTGCTATTGCATTTGATAGCGCCTTTCACAAATCAGACGT